TTTTTACATATGAAAACTTGAAATTTATTATAGCTTTGTAGTCCTGAGACCACAGCTCAGGCTTTTGCATAAAATCTGTCATTATGTAGTTGACTCTTGCTTGAATATGCAAGTATGGTATTGTTGTGTGTATCAAAAGCTTTTTGAAAGTTTGGTGGACAGAATTTACAAAAATATTCTAATTTAGGAGAGTTTTGAACTAGGTGTTTAAAACCTTACAAAACAATTGCAAGAAAAGTCACACATTTTTGACTCAAAACCTTACTGAGATATATTCCTTGTGACAACTTCCCTGTGTGACAGCTAGCCCTTATATATATTTATGTATATATTATCAAACCATTTAACACTACATACCTAATTCCAAACCGCAGTCACTGACTCTGTGTGTGTGTGTGTTCATGTGTGTTTGTTTTATAGCCCTGCTCAGTGTAGTCTACCATGTGTGATTTTTGTGAGTCAATGTGTGGTCCCTGGAAGTGTCAGAGCAGTGAGCCTGCTCTGTGGTTTCTGTGTGTTGAGTGTTTGTGTACACTTGTGTTTGTCCGTTTTTGTCTATGTGCGAGTGAGAGAGCAAGAGATTTAGGGAGAACATCATAAACTGCTGCTCACTCTTTATCTTTTACTGATGTTTATAAGCAAACTAAACGTGCTCCCCAGAAGATCCATCGCACCCTCTCTTCGTATCTGAATCGACATATTCTCTGCACATGTCATGACCAGTACATTTGCACACTCACCCACATTATTGCAACTGTATTTCTTACTTTTTCTCAAATCAGTAATATGAACACTTTTTCCCTTCTATCTAACATGACATGACTTTACTGCTAATATATATGTCTCATTGCCTCAATGTCAAGTGTTTATTTTATTTCATATATTCATAAGAGATGTATATATATATATATATATATATATATACACACACAGTATATGTATGTGTATATTTACACATACATCCAAGGAAGTCCCAGTATCGAGCTTGTCTTACTATGTATATTTCCACTGTAATCATCTGTCTTGGTTACAGTTTGATCTGCCATCAAATTCATGGGTGATAAGCTGATAGCTATCTATTCTTCCCTTCCCAACGCACACACCTGTGAGACACTGAGGGGCCTTCAATACGAATCCCTCAACCATCTTCACCTGCTTTATCTGTACCCTGACTGAACTGATGTTTTAATAACCCTGCAATAAATGAGTATCACAGCCCTATTCCCTGGTCAATAAGGTTAACGCCTCAACATGTTGTCAACACAAAGATACCATGATACCACCAGGTTCTGAACAGCACTCAGCTTTATCTCATCGCTCATTTGCATGCGTGTCCCTATTAGTTGTTATTAACTGTTGTCGGGTAAAGGGCTTTTATTACTTAGAGTTGGAAACAAGCAAGAAATTGGACACTCTTGTCCTGCCAAACAATCTTTTCCATACCTAATTTGTGAAATTGCTTTTTATGTCATCTTTGTAGTCAACATTTCTCCTTCTCTTTTCCCAACCTTCTGCCTTTTTTCTCAGTGTCTCTCAACATCGTTCTCTTCTCTGTGTATACTGACTGACAGTGTGAGCATAGTCAGATCAGCAGTGTGTCGTTTACTGCCCTCAGTTTCCTGTGTGTGGTACAACTGGCAGAGACCACTCTCATTGCCAAAGAAAAGAGTGCAATGTTGAGGGGAAGAGGAAGATTTTAGCAGAAAACCTATATCGCATGCTTAGGAGAGAGTCTCTGCAGTGTGGTCGTCGTAGTTTGGAAATTTGAGTCTCATGGGATCGGAGTTCTGTTCCACTCCCTCGTCTGGCTTCTCTCATCTACCCCTAAACATAACAGTCATTAGTTATGTTTGTAATGTGTGGCTGCAAGCATTACAAATAAAAATGGAACCGTGTATCTGGTTGTGAATACCTGTTGGTGCAACACTGAAATGTAAAGGTGCTGTGTATCTTTCAGTTAGTATGTATGCAAATTTGTAATAGCTGTACTATTTTAAATGCTATAACATCTTCTGTATTTCTTAGTTCTTCCTACTACTATTAATCACCTTACTGTAAGCAATTTCTTAATCTTGAATCAAGATCTAGCTTTCTTTTTTTTTATCTTCATAATCTTTGTTGATTATTCTTGATAACTTGCACTGATTAGACATTTATCTCTATTTCTAACTGATGCCAACCAGTTGGAAGAACAGGACTTAAACAAGACCAATCACACTTTTATGATGACTGTAAATTAAATAGTTCACCTAAACTCTGTCACCTTCACGTTGTTCCAAACTTGTATGACTTTCTTTCTTCTGTGGAACATAAAAAAATTGAGATATTGTTCAAAATATCTTCTTTTGTGTTCTACAAAAAAAGTCAAAAGTCATGTTTGGAACAACATGAGGGTGAGTAAATTAATATAAATTGAAACTACACTGGCAGAGTTCTTTTATTAATAACTGTTCCATTTATGCTTTATAATCTTCTAATGGTTTATTTGAAGTTAGAAATAAATAAATTAGCCATTTATCTCCAGTCTGTTGATGAAATAGAGGATTACACTCTCTGTTGGTAAAGCTTTTATGAAGCGGTCTCACCATTAGCTCAGCAAAATCTGGATGAGATTTTGTGGTGCTGAATTACAAGACTTTTACCAGCATAATCACACAATATCTTTCACCTCGCATTTGAGTTCATGAATTCCAAAACCTTGAATCACAGTAGTCTGTTGCAAAAGTATCCAAAGTACTGTATCATAATTATAAGTGTACCTCTTCAATAGGCTTGTATTGATTTGTTACAGCAGGTGTGTATTGACCAAAAGAAACTTTTGCAATGCCATCTTTGCATAGCCACTACCATCTCCATACATGAGTGATGGCAGACAAACTGGAGCTGGTTTTATCTCCCCATCAAATATTTGCCGGGGTGGAGAACGATCAGAAAGATAAAGAGAGAGCGAGAGAGATTAGCATAGAGATGAGAGAAGAGATTCAGACAAGGTCTTGATTGGGATCGGAAGACTCATTAAAATCAGGCAGGTTTGGACCTGTGAAGCCCAGTGAAGGAAGGAACAAAGACAACCTATTAGTGCCAGATTAACTAAGACTGATAAAAGACTTTACAGTGCGAATTGTATGCAAACAGATGAAAAGCTCTCAGTGTCACTGATGGCAATGAACTCAAGTACAATGGCCATTGTGTCCTTTTGCGGTTTCATCCTTCATATTTCTCGTTTGGCTCAGTGCAAGTATCTGAAACATCTCAAGACACTTTTTTTGTGAAGAGATTTTATTTTACCCCTGGGACTGCAAGTCTAATGGGCAAGCCTGCATCGTAGACAAGCTGTTAATTAAAAGCAGATCTGTTCGCCTCATACAGTTAAAGTGGATCACAGTGATTTTTACACATAGCAGCGGGTTGTATCTGTTATATTTTAGGACCTTATCCTCTATTGTTACTGAGGTGCAGTGTTTTCAAACTTTGTGCCATTTTTAAAAACTTTGACATGACGAGCACAATAGAAATGAGAAATAATGGCTGCATGTGCACTGGGGGAATATCAGTTTTAATTGGAAAGCTGTGTTTAATGGGTGCTATTAATTTTGTATACATGCAAGTGTTTTCATAAGCATGCATGTCCTTTGTTGTAGTGTATTGTTCACACTTGAGCTCTATTAAACTGTCTCAAAGGCTCTGTAAATCTCTTTCCTCTGTGTGTGTGTGTGTGTGTAAGTACAGTGTGGACCATCAGTTCATGTTCCCTCAGCAGCACACTAACACATTTCTTTCCATTCAAATGCTCTTAAAGTGTTTTTCCTCCCACTCGCTTATTAAACTCTAAAGAATTCAGACACTTGATTTCTGGACCCGCGTTAGGTTTTTAATCACGCAGAGGATAATGTTTTTAATTTATTATTCATTTTGAAAATTTAGCTACAGCTTGTAATTCTCTTTGGACTTTTTTATGTTCCATGATGATGTTTTTCTCGTCAGGGCCAGAGAAAAGAATTATGTTTTCTGCATAACCACTGTGAGAAGAATAGCAGAGAGGGTGGACACTGAAATCTATCTATCTATCTATCTATCTATCTATCCCATCAGTATCCCTCTGTATTTAGGAAGTGATATGCAAATCAAAGTCTTTAACTTTTGGCATGGACTCAACAGAGTCTGGCACTGACTCTGATGGACATTACCAATATTAAAGGTTTGGCTGAAAAACAAAAGACCTCTGAAAGTTATCCCCACAGAGCTCCATAGCTCAGATGAATGTTTGCAGACATCCATGTGCATTCAAAAATACTATATTTGCATGCATGCATGCACATACAGATATCATTTGAACAACTTAAAGTAACTTAATAATTCATAAAAAGATTTGGAGCATCTTTGCTTTCATATATATTTGCCTAGAGGTCTGTCATTTTGGCTACACATACATATTTAAATGCACATACACATTAGTTTACATTCCCCATAGACGCTGGAGCAGAACGAGACGCTGGGCCTCAGCTTTTCTGTTTGCTGATGGTGTTGATAAGATGCCAGCGTCCTCTTAAACAATTCACTGTAGGACATAGAGTTTGATATCTATCGGGGAATCCTTTGATTTGTGAGAAAGAAAAATGCTAATGAAATTTTATTCTTAATTTGGATTCAGTTCTTTAAAAATCGAATAAGAACTTTAGCATTTGATTCGTTTTAGGGTTTATTGGAACCAAATGATGAATTATCATGGTTATGGTGAGGACACAAAAATTATTAGTTTTTTTAGTTTTTTTTAAATATACCATATATATATATATATATATATATATATAAGAACGCACTGTTAAGCATTGTTGTGGTATTATTTTGTATAACAGATTGACTCTAAAAATTTTTCCAATTATTTTGGTTGTTGAATATACAATTTATGATGTTCAGAAAAAAATTAATGCATTAATATTGTATTGGCTGTGTTTTCATTAGGTCTCCCTCTCTCTTTGTCTCAGGTCCTTATCCTCTGGCTGGTGTTCGCCCTGTAGTGTGGAGGGGGATGGAGCGTTGCGGAGGAGAGAGCCCTCGTTTACGGGAGAGCCCTGAGCGACGTGGGAGCAGAAGTCCTGATATTGGCAGCCCCCCACCAAAGATGGGTCGTGTGGAACTCAACGGTAGTCCCACAGGTCACCGCAGTCGCCACAATGGGGCCCCACAGAGACCTCTTGGCGGTAAGACACTCACAACTTTTACTGTATATACACTTGTTATATATTTTTTTTCCTTGAGTGTTTCCTCTTTTATTAGTTGTATGTTGAAGAAAGACCACACACTAGCACCGTGGCTTAGTGTGCCTAAATTCTAGCCACTACACCACTGCTTTAAAAAATATATTGTTTTTTTTAATTAGTGAGAGAACTATTATAGAATTTTAAAAAAATGAATAAACATTAAAACAGCACATCTAGCTATGCAGTTTGCCTGGTTCTATCTAATTTATCTGACATTAAAAGAGCCAGCTCATAGTGCATGATGCAGATCAGTTTAATCCTATACACCATTTTAGTTCTGCTCACAGGAGTGTTGTGGCCACTATAAGCTCAGTGAATTAAGTAGCACCATATAGACCTGATTTATTCCTCTTGGCCAGTTATTGATTGCAACAGTACTGTGTGTCAGAAGGGGGGTCATATTGATTAAAGAGACCCCAACAAATTGCCACATACAGTGGTGTGGTCACAGCTGTGATTATTGAATGGCTTTAAATATGTTTTTACACATGGGTAGTTGACATATAACTTTTTTAATTCAGCATCAAGGTTTTCACCAAAAAAAAAAAAGACAAATCATATATCGCAAATTTTGCATCTAGACAAGTTTATTTATTTGGCTTGCAAATAGAGTGGCATGCACGTTGAATGGTGACTACCATTCAAAAGTCTCAAAAGATATGCTCTTTTTATATTATACATCCGCGATGAGTTTTTCTAGTCTGCTAGTGGTTACTGTAACTACAATATTACGGTCTTTCTTCACTGATAGCCATAGCATTCTGGCCACACACCATCTATCTATGTATATATGTGTGTGTGTGTGTGTGTGTGTGTGTGTGTTTGTGTGTTGTTTATATAGTTTTAGTTATATTGTATACCATACTGCAGGATACTGCTTTTACTGCTTCAAATATCATATCAATGACCCGCATACAGTTAAACATGATGTGATTACTGTTTTCTGTATTTTGATCAAATGAATGCAGCCTTGGTGAGTATAAGAGACCTCTTTCAATAATTCAATTTAATAATTATATAATCATACCAACACAAAACTTCTGAACAGTAATATGTATGTATGTGTATACATACTATATATATATATATACAGTGGGTACGGAAAGTATTCAGACCCCCTTAAATTTTTCACTCTTTGTTATATTGCAGCCATTTGCTAAAATCATTTAAGTTATTTTTTTTTTCCTCATTAATGTACACACAGCACCCCATATTGACAGAAAAACACAGAATTGTTGACATCTTTGCAGATTTATTAAAAAAGAAAAACTGAAAAATGCTCAGTATTTAGTAGAAGCACCCTTTTGATCTAATACAGCCATGAGTCTTTTTGGGAAAGATGCAACAAGTTCTTCACACCTGGCTTTGGGGATCCTCTGCCATTCCTCCTTGCAAATCCTCTCCAGTTCTGTCAGGTTGGACGGTAAACGTTGGTGGACAGCCATTTTTAGGTCTCTCCAGAGATGCTCAACTGGGTTTAAGTCAGGGCTCTGGCTGGCCCATTCAAGAACAGTCACAGAGTTGTTGTGAAGCCTATGTGTGTGTGTGTGTGTGTGTGTGTGTGTTTGTGTGTTGTTTATATAGTTTTAGTTATATTGTATACCATACTGCAGGATACTGCTTTTACTGCTTCAAATATCATATCAATGACCCGCATACAGTTAAACATGATGTGGTCCTGACAGTAAAGCAGTTACACATTTTTCTCTAAGGAAACATACAGTCTGTGTCCAGTAACACACAGCCTCAGCAAAAGTGTCATATTCTATCATCCCTCACACTGTTTCATTCCTGATGTTATGGATTGGGGCAAAATGTCACCAAGGTCAAGCTGTAATTAACCTTGACAGTGAACAATGTGTGTAGCCAATCATAAAGCCACATATCAGATATAGATGAGATATTTTTAGAGGCCAAGACCTTAACAACATATACTGTGAGTTTGTTCGTGATTGTGTGTATGTGTGAGTATGACTTGCTGTACACATCTAAAGCAGATTTGATTTGACACAATATCTAAGAAGAAGATTTTTTTTGGAATAGGTCAAAGAGGAAAGTAGCAGGGCTTTCTCTTCCTGTACCCTGGCAGATGGGCCAAATGGTTAGTTTTAATCAGAGGTTGTCTTGAAACAGTCTTCTCCAAACCACAATGGAACACTAAAGAGTGGGCCACACACAAATCAGACATGGACTCACTCAGAATCACTCAGACACATGCCTGCATTGCTAAAAATCATTTTTGTAATCTTTTTTTTTTTTAAGTATCTAAAGCAAGATGAATTTCCTCTTAAATTTGCATAAGGCATTAACACTGGTTTTCAGAAAATATAGTTTTAATTAAGTTTGTGTTTTACCCCTTCAGCAATTTATTAATGTTAATTCAAGATATATTTTATGAAAAGTCTTTTGTTCTTATATTATTATAATTATTATTATTAACTAACGATTTTGCTTCTCAAGTAAATTTATCTTATTTTCAGGCTGTTTAGCTATTCTTTCTGAGAAACAAGACAAAAATGCTGATTTATTTATTCATTTATTTTATTTTTATTTATTTATTTATTGCAGTATGTTCTTTGTTTCTATATTTCATTTATATACAGTTTAAAGCAAATAGTCAGCGTTTATGGTTATAGTATAGTCTACAAATATGCTTACAAGTCTACAAGCCTATATAACCGAGTGACGCGATGCGCATATTCGCTTCGCGTCTGGTGTGAACACACCATTAAATGGCACACTTCAAAATTCATGCATAAGTCTAAAAAAATGTTCAGGCATTAATGTGCATTAAAACAGATAATCAAAGAGACACAAAGACTTACTCAGAGTGAGCATTGCTCAGCAATGAAAGGTTCACACAAAAAATGAGTCAGACACAGGCTTCACACACATGCTGTTATCTTATGATGAAACCGTGCTCATACAGGGTACAGGGATGAGCCCATGGGAGCTAGCGGAAGAAAGAGAGAGAGAGAGAGACTGCTGGGAGCTGCTGTGTGTTGACAGTTATATTTCCCTGTTGGGGGAAATTCACTTACTTGAATTGGCACCGGCCCCTGGCCTGTAATTCACTCCATAAGAGCATTCTGAACTGGAAGCCAGGGTGATAAATGGAAAGGAAATAGAAATATAGGAATTGACTGATTAAACCAAGGGGCTCTGGGAGCTGTGTGTGAATATATATGTATTTGCATGGAAGTGTGTGTGTGTGTGTGTGTGTGTGTGTGTGTGTGTAAATTAGGAGAGAGTTTTGTACTGCTCTGCTTTTATTAGTACAACTGGGATTTTGCCTAATGCTTTCAGCCTATAATTTCTAAGGGGTATTTATTAATAGTCAGAAGGCTTTTGAGCACTTCAGGGAAATTGAAAAAACCAATGGATAGGTTAGGCCTAGATTAACCAGAGGAAGCTTGGGTGGGATGTGTGTTTTTCAGGCATCAATAGGTACTCCGTACTATTTCTCAACAAGCTGTGAATGACTATGCATCTCGACATCCCATTAAAAGATGGGACTCTGTACCCACCGAATCACTTGGCAACATATTTTACGGATTAGTCATAAATGTTTTTAACTAAAATGTTAACAAAATCAACACTACTAAAATGAGCCAAACGCAATGAGCCGTAACCTCAAACACTGAAGGCAGAAAGGTTTGCATATCCGTTGGAGGCTCATGCAGCTAATTTTATTAAGTGACCCTGCCGTTAGCACGCAGTCCGTTGACTTGAGGAGATATCATCTCAGCTGCCCTGACAAAGTGAAGGGAGGCACCATAAAAAAATTGATAGCTTTAATGGAGTATAACGTAGCTGGTTTGATGGTTGGTTTGATACACAATCTGAACGCTTTGTTCATGTTGACTATTTGCATTGGGCTAGGAAACCTGGGACAAGCGATTGACCCTGGCCACCTTATTCAAATGCAAGTAATGAACCTATTAATCATTAATGATTTCTAATGAAAACACTTCTCCTGTGAACAGCACGTGGCGACTATTCAAAATAATGCCACACTTTATTTAGAAATAGAGTTGTGAATTTGTTGAATAGTTTTTAAAAAATGTGTGCAAATGATTCCATTTGTAGAATATCAGCTCAGTCACTGAACTTCCTTTTTAACGGATATTCAGTAATTCAGCTCTTCTCTCTTGACCATTGTTTCACTAATGTTTTCTATACCGTGCTGCTCTACTGTATTGCAGGTCTGATGATTCCAGTCTTCTGCGTAGTGGAGCAGGTGGATGGAGGGATGATATCAGATGGAGAGAGCCGGGAGGAACATGCAGAGTTTGTGCTGGTCAGGAAAGACATCCTTTTCACTCAGCTGGTTGAGACTGCACTTCTCGCCCTTGGCTACTCCCACAGTTCTGCAGCCCAGGCACATGGTGAGTTCAACATTGTCCCAGACTCAGAGTGCATGTTCAAAACAGTTAATGAATCTTAAATTTCAGTAAAATAAATAATAAATAAATAATGACTAGAACTTCACTTTTCCAGTTTGACAAACCAGAACAATATCAGATATTTTAACGTTTATCTTGATGTACTATTTAAATGAGCTGCCAAATGTTACACAAAAGTTCCTTTTTTAAAAAAGAAAAAGGAAGTGTGCTTAATTGTATTGAATGTGCACGTAGTATTGTAATTTAAATCTTATAATGTGTAAAAAAGTTTTAAAAAATATATAATCTCAAGGAAATAAAAGGCCACTTGATTGTATAACTTAAGTGTACTTAAAGTGTACTTTTAACTCTTAAGTGCACTTTTAAAACAGTGCACTTTGTAATCATGTGAAGTTAAAATGTGTAAATTTATAAGTGAAGTAAATTTTAAATCATTATGTTTTAATAAACTTTTGTTGAGCTTTAAATAAGTACACTTATTGATTAACAGAATGAAGCAAAGTACTGTATTATAATTTTCCCACAAGCCCCTCCCTTCAGCCAATCACATTCCTCCATGTCTAGAGTGTGGTTCTGTGGGTTCTGTGACTGGATTCCTTTAAGAAGTTTGTTATTATAAGTGGCTCCATTTTACCTCTCTGAAATTAGAGTGAAATGTTCTTCACATCTCAATCTTTTTTAGAGTTTTTTTTTGTATCAAAAGAACATGCAGTCTTATTATTAACAAAATATGATGTAATATGAACATGAAACATCTCTGATATACAGATATGCTAAACAAAAAAGAACAACTTAAGTTTTTATACATCAGCATGAGTAAATCCTGCAAAACTGAGCAGATTGTTAGTTTGTGATACCTAATGCATTAATTAATGTTAATGAAATGAAACGTATGAAAATGCAAAAGAATCGTATTTATTTCTGATATAACTGGATGCCATGCAATTAATCTTAGTAATCATTACATAATACATACTCTTTCGGTTATATTTCAGGCAGTATGTTAAGCAGTGTACAGTATATATTGCACAGTATGCAGTAAGCAATACACTAGTACTCAATTCCTCTACAGTTCAGAGCGATTAGAGTGGCATGGAGTGCAGAGAGGAGGTCCGGCTGTTGAGATGTTGACAGGAGGATGTACTGTTTTGGGCTAATGTGTCTGAGAACACCGAGGAGTAAGGGCATTTGTTCGACATTACTGAATCACAGACAGTCTGAAAATCTCATTAAACAAGAACAAAGGAAATGGCGAGGCAAAGAATGCAGTATTTTCATGTCACAAAAAGATGCGTGTGAACTGTATTTGTGTGTATGTGGTAACTTTGTGGGAATGCATGTTTGTGTCTGCTTGAGGTCTTTGTACTCTCATAGTATGGGTCCATTTTCTGTGTGTGTTTGTGTGTGTATATGGAGAATGTTTATGAGTATGTGGGCCAAAGAAGCAATATAATGCTTTACTTTATTGTTGTACACATGAATGTCATCTCCCAGTAGATTGAGAGTTTACTTGTATTCTGTGAAGTATGAAGAAAATGTAAAACAGTCATTACTTCATGTTGATCCACGGGTAACAAAAGACATCACGATTTACTTCATAGGTTGAGCATTTGGCATTTATGTGAGCTTATTTTTTTGTAGTGTTTGTAGTCACAGTTCACGCTCTGTACGTCTGACTAGAACAAAGTTTGATGGTGCTGCAGTTTATTGGAAGTATTTTAAAAAGTATTGCCAGAAAACAGAGAGCGAAAATTGAAGGCCACATTTCAACCTTTAATTAAAAGATCATTTAAGTCAGGCTGATGAAATGTCTGCTACGTTTTTGTAGTGATTGTAGTTTTTAAAATTAAATGCTGCGTGGTTGTGTTTGTGTGTGACTGCAGCTTGTTATTCATCAAAAATAATGTTAAATAAGCATTCTTTCTCTTTCTTTGACAACTAAATATACACAGTAACAAAAACAGAAAAAACATGAGTCACTCGTAGGTCAACAACGTGTCTTTAAATTCACTCGAAGCTCCCTTTAGAGATCCCTTTGAAGAGCCAAAAACAGATCAATATGTTACCCACACAGCGACTCAAGCCATTTGTGTAACCTCCTAAAATACCATTATGCGCTATAAAATTAAACAAGTACGCAAATTGATAGAAGCGGCATTATGATTGGAAAGGCAAAATAGTCCTGTCTGGCCCACACAATGGCGCCACATCTGTGAGGAAGTCCCAGACGCTACTCCCCTAAACACAGAAACATAAGCGGTCACCTCTGTACAGTCGCAAAACAATATCAAAAGGACACGGAGGAGGACAGGACAGCACTGCAAAACAAACCGTTTAGGCTCAATATAATCCACACACCCTCACAGTGATCAGTTCAGATGAGGCCAGATACAATAAAAGGAGAGGGTTATGGCTAAAATGACGCTCCCACACTCACTCACACATACTAACAAGATTCTCTCATTATGAACAACTGCACTGACTTCAGTTTATTCCTAAAATGAGCAGAGAATGAGCGATAGAATGAAAGAGACAGAGAACTCTCCTCTCAAATGAATACTTTTTGTTTTTAAAGCAAGCGTTTATGTTAAATGAATAATTTCTGGCTTAAATTATACATTTTTTCCTCTGCGGTTCACAACCAAAATTACACGGAGTCCCATCTATTTTCTCCCTGTTTGAATTGTGTCCTGCATAGCTCTCTCGTAGTGGTATATTTAAGCTCCTCTCCCAGCACCGCTGCCTTTCTTTAATTAGCCTGACCAGTAATTATCTGGGAGATATTGTTTATTTCAATTATAAGGGTCTGAGTACTTTTTTAGAATCGTATGGACAGACCTGTACTTTAAGGCTTCAGACAATTAACAGTGGTGACGAATTACAGCACGAGTGCATTGTTGTGCTGCCACGTTAGACATGCAGCCACGTCGGGTCGAACTGGGGCAGTTTGATAAAAAAATACGCTATGTTGCCTGAGAGAGCCTGGACAGTCACTTCACATACTTTGAGCAATGACAATTAACTAATTCCCACCTGTAGTGTGAACATTTGTGAGTATTCACATGTGCAGATAATGTACCTTAAAGGGATAGATCACCCAAAAATGAAGATTCTGACATCATTTACCTCATGTTGTTCCAAACCTGTATGCTTTTTTCCATGGACAATTATAGGAGAATTTTCAAAAAATGTAGCACTGCTCATTTCCATACGAGGACTGTTCATTTTGACTACTGTCATGCTTCAAAAACAACAAAAAAGCACCATAAAGATACCTCAAACGTATGTAAACAAGCTGCAACTTGGAAAAACATAACAGTGAGTAAATAATGACTGCATTTTTTTCCGGTGAACTATGTCTTATTTTTTGGTATAAAATGCAATTAAAAAAAACAAACTATCTCTGTCCTCAACGAATCCTTTAGATTTATGACCAAAGTGAGTTAGCTTTCCATCTGCCATCTGACACACCTGGCAGCCAATCAGAAGCAAGTCAGTTTTGTCGTTATTGCCAGGGGTCTTCGATGCTCTGTCTGTTTGGTCATTTATGACAGCCATACAAACTATTAAGGTTTAACCTCAAAATAAGATGAATCTGTCCAATCCATAAATCTATAATCTGGAGCATAGTTTCACTTCTGCATACAATATGCTCATTAGCATGGTTAAATCATTGTTTAATCAATGTGAGTATTATTTTAATAAAAACAGTCTATATTATGTTGATATTATTTCTGATTATTATTTTTTTTGATGTCTTACTTTTACTAAAAGTAGTAATAGATTCACTCACCTGTTAAGAAAGATAGCTAAGACCAGTTAAAAGTTTTTTTTGGTTCACAAAAAAAGAAATCTGACATCATTTACCTACCCTCATGTTGTTCCAGACTGTTAGCCATTTTTCTTTCTTCTTTCAAACAACACTGGACCCCATTGCATTTTATTGTATGAACGGAAACCAAGCATTGACTTTTTTTTTTTCTTTTTCAAAAAGTCTCCTTTTAGTTTCACAAAAGAAAGAAAGTCAAGGTTTGGAATGACATTAAGGTGAGTAAATGATTAGTAAATTGTTGGGTTAACTATCCTTTTAACAAGCCTTTTCATCATGGCCCCCCAAAAGATTATGAATTATGAATCTATAGTATTTCCACCAAAATACTGATCACATAAAAGATATAAGATGCTTATATTGTGATAATATAGTAAAACCAGAATACAGTATATTCTGGAAAGACAGACAGTATTGCTCAGGCCTGCCTTTCCCATTTGATTTATTAAATCTATATTGATACATTATTAATGAGTTATCATAACAGTCTGTGGTCTTCATGACTAGTGGGGCGTATCTTCTACAGAGCTAAGTCATTCAGAACAGCAAACATTTGGATATCAGTGCTTCTATCCAAACTAGCTCTGCAGAATAGCGTATGGGTGCTAGGGAACATTTTCATACTGTGTGTGAGGTTGCGTTTGTGTGTGCGAGTGTGTATGGATGGATACACACAAGCTTTAGCCAAGCTACCAGCCGACCACATGAAAGCCCAGCACTGGGAGGAGGAATTTTAATGTGGCAATGGGAACAATGGTTTGTACTTGGGGAGGAAAATGACAAGGAACAGAGTATTTCCAAGTTAAAAATGATTCATTAATGACATTACCACAGTCTCTGTATGATGCGAGCTCATACTGTAAATAGGAATACATTTTACCGCTTTTTATTGGAACAGAGCTCATTGCTTTTTTTCAGATTGGTTGCAGTGAGCTGTCTAACACTAAACATGTGAATTGGGTAACCTCGCTGACATTCAGCTCTTACAGCAATTGGAATGAATTACTGCTTAACTTAAAGTACATTAAGAGGCAGAGCCTCTCAGTTCAGTCTTAATTGATGCTACTGCTCAAAGTCGGAATACTCAAGACGTCTACAGTGGGCATACACATACATTCAGCATTGCACAATGAGACAAAACAGATTCCCTCAAAAATCAAAGCAAAACCGGTAATATAAACACAGACTTGAAAAGAAGGACAGATCTAAAGGGGGGTGTGGAACAATCACACAAATTGTCTTCATCTGTCTGACTTGCCTCTCCTCTTTAAATCACTGTCTGAAATGGGAATACAGGTGCATCTCAATAAATTAGAATGTCGTGGAAAAGTTCATTTATTTCAGTAATTCAACTCAAATTGTGAAACTCTGTTTTTATGTATATAACTAACTAACTAAATAAATAAATATTTTGTGTAATTTAAACAGGTTATCTTGTGGTATCAGCTTGTAAAATCCTTCTAATTGAATATTCTTGTGATGACTGGGGAGTCTCATAGTAATTATATTAATATTTAATTTAATTTATTACAAAATAAGTATTATAATAATATAATAATTATTATATTTTGTTATACATCATAACATAATATTAAATAATTATAAAAAACTAATAATAATATTTATTATAAAATAATATTTAAGATATTAATGTTTGCAATGAGGAAACATACAAAAGTTTCCCTTTTCTATATATTTTACTCCATTATAAGTGACGAGATAATTAAGGGATTATTTTGCTTATGTCAATTATAGACAGTTGAGCAAGCCTCTAGAGCCCTGTACATACATGACAGCAGGAGATAGGCCAGGGTAAACTTTTTATCTGCACTTCTCAATGAGCTCTTTCATGCCCACTGATTGCAGTTTACTCTTGGATGCGGAGGAGATAAACATAGGGCCCAAATGAGAAGATTGTAGTCTTTGTGTAGTCGTGTACCATCCAGGTTTGTTTCCCTGTGTTTCCATGGTGATATTATTGTTGACCTGGCCTGCTGTAGGGTTTATTGATTCAGAACTGAAGATGATTACAGTAGAGTAATGGAGGGATGAGTAATAATGATTTTATGGATACAGCTTTGCCAAACTGGAGGACCTTCCATCAGAGCATTGGAATCACGCTACAGTACGCAACGCCCTCAAAGAACTGCTCAAAGAGATGAACCAGAGCATACTGGTCAAAGAATGTCCTCTCTCCCAGGTACAGTTGCTACCCACTCAGATTTTTTCAAATCCAACACACATAGATTTGACCATTTAAGATGATAAGTAAAACATGCACTGCTGGTGCAACTCTTCCAAAACTAACAACATAATACTTAGCAGTATAACATAAATGAAAATGTTGGGCTCAGTATTGCATTATGCTTGCAGATGTTCCAAACAATGGCGTCAGTGCGTGGTTAATGTAGCCTAAATTGTCTTAGCGTGTTTCATTCATCAATTTGAAATTTACTCAAAAATTCCCGCATTCATGGGCCATTTCTAAAAACCAGAAATTACTTCACATGAGAGAGAGAATGCATGCATGTGTGTGTGTGTGTGTGTGTAACTGTGGGTGTCCATCCGCGATCCTTGCTCTGCTCATTTCCAGTGAGCAATCTTGGAGATTTATGTATCTGTGCATGCTGTGTTTAAGTGGAACTATGTGTGGGTGTTGATCCTCATATCAATTGTTTGCATATGTGTGTGGCTCTTCGTCTCTACTTATGTCACTGCGGGTTAAAGCTTGTCGCGGCATTCGCTATCCGACTTGCCTGGGTGGCTTTCCACAGTAATGTGTTTTATAGGCCATTTAGCATTGCAATTTTAATTTCTTGACCATGTGTTAATTTCCGTTATCCTCTGTCGTTATTCCCATTTTTTCCTTTTATTGACCTCTCTCTCATTCCTTTGACTTTTTTCAGAGTATGATCTCCTCAATAGGGAATAGTTCCTACTATGCTAACGTCTCAACTGTCAAGTGCCAAGAGTTTGGTCGCTGGTACAAGAAGTACAAAAAAATTAAAGGTAAGGCTTGTACGGATGTCTTTTTGGCTGTATTTTTACTCTGTCCAACCAAAATCCAGATTTAAGTCCAGGTTAAATTCTTCCTCTGTTATTTGGTGCCATCTTAAATGTGGAAAAAAGACTAAAATGCTAAGCTGACATTATCACAGTAGTCTGATCAGGAAAGCGTAGCTTTGATCAAACTCACATACTGTTTGAGTAGGTATTATACATTCGATGAAGAACTTAGTTATTCTATATAGTTTGAATGTGTGTAGTGTCAATGAAATCCGGACGTACAACATCTGTCATATTGTCATTGTCATGTGACTTACGACATTAGTTGCGTCGCTTCACTGCCACTGCCAACTCCTCTCCTGTGGCCTTAAGCCATAGTAAAGTGTTCATTGAATGCACACTTCAGAAGTTGTTTTATGAATACTGTAGTTTTATGAATTTATGTATTCAGACATACTTCTCTTTTCAAATACTGTTTTTTGTCTGCTATATAGTCGGGAACTAGGCGTATTCGGACACAGAGACTGTTTTTTTTTCAGAGATTTCCCTTTTCTAGCATGTGGTGAGGTATTCAGGGTCATGAGCAAGTCTTGAGTTTTGTGCTACATTTTATACATTATCTCTTAATGACTCCTCTTACCTGGGATGGGGTAACACAAACCACTGTTCCTTCCCCCAAAATGCTACAGGGGGTCTACCAGTGACAGGTCCTGCAAAGAGTCATCCCACAGCTCTGCTGTTTAAGCCTCTTAGCATCCAAATGCCTGTGACAATTTTCCTCCTCTCGATGCCCCTTCAAAAAGTGAAATAATTACACAGCAGGACAGATCAAAGTGGGGGCTAAACCCCAAGTGCAGTGAGTGAGCGAGCAGCAACAAAGAATAAAGCGATCCTCAGCACGCTGACAGAATAAGTGGTGTTGAGTTACACCGAGCCTCCTCAATTAGTTCTGCTCTTTGCCTCCCAGAGCTAAACACTCAGCCCGCATTGCCAGATGTGTGTGCCAGTGCAGAGAGACCCCATTGGATGACTCATGTGTCAGTCATGCAGTTGTAAACCCAAGTTGTAAAACTTTATATTCATGAAAGAACATTTTTGTTTCATTGTGAGCGTGATTGAGTAAGTGAGTGAATGCTTTTGTCACTTACCATAAGTTCCTTGTATCTGTTTAAGGGGATTATTTGTGGCAAGGACGGGAGAGCTCGGAAATCAAGGGTAAGCATCTACATTCTGATGTTTATTTGGGTAAAAGATTGTCTTTGATTTGTCTACTAGAACACTAGAGAGTTTGTTCTAGTGCCTGCCTCATACGCATCTCCATCCCTCCACAGTTGAAAGGGACAGTCTCACTGACTTCTGTGTATTAGCCCAGCGTCCGCCCTCTCACCTGGCTGGTCTGGCGCAGCTCTGTCCCTTGAACAGTGCCGGCTCTCTGGTGAAAGGTGGCTCTGGAGAACCTCAGAATTCAGCCCAGTCTCAGCCTCCATCCCAAGGGCAGCCGCAATCACAGCTCCATCACAGTCCTCCGCTACGGGCTCAGGTGCCTCCTCCACCTCCGCCTGCTGCCCTGCAAACTCTTTTGGCGCCTGGAGGACTTCTCCCACCCCAGCTCAGTCCACAGCTGGTGAGGCAGCAGTTAGCCATGGCTCATCTTATCAGCCAACAGCTGGCCGTCAGCCGCCTCCTGCATCAGCATCCGCAGGCTCTTAACCAACAGTTTCTCAATCACCCACCCATCCCGCGGCCTAGCAAGTCCGGTGGCCCTGGAGAGCCTGGGTCCAACCCCTCAGCTGCGGAAGTCTCCTTTGATGTCTACCAGCAGGTGCGAGACGAGCTGAAAAGGGCCAGTGTCTCACAGGCAGTGTTCGCTCGAGTTGCCTTCAACCGTACCCAGGTAAAGTATAGACTGCATGGTGGAGAATATGTTATTGAGAATATGAGAATTATAGAGTTATATGAGAATAAGTTATTCACTTAATGGTTCAAAGGTTTAAAGAAAAACTTTGAGAAAGGAGACACTACACCATATATAGTAGCAAAGAGCCTCTTCAGAACATACCAGTTACTAGGGCGTGGCGATGTATTGAATATTCATGATGTATTTGTAATGATATTTGTAAATTATGTAACACTGTGAATATTGCAATGATTTTAATGCACTTTTTATTTGGACATTAAGTTTCTGTAAGTTATACCTAACAAAAAAATGCTTACAAAAGTAATATTTAAACAAATTATTTAAACATGCCTTTGGTAAGGTAAGGTAACTTTTGGTAAGTGTGAAGTTAGTTCAATTAATGCCAAAGCAAATGTATTTAAAAAAATAAAATAAAATAAAAAATAATCTTTTTTTGTAATATATATTAAATGTTTATTTTAGTTTTTAATGAATTTTAAAATGTTATAGTTTTAATTTTATAGTATTTTTTTACATTTATTCTGAATTTGTAATACCATTTAAAGTTGTCATATAACGGAAGTAGTGACAGATCTTTTCTACTTTATTGTCACTTACATCCAAGTGAAACGTATTATCGAAAAAGAAAAGAAAAATGTTGGATGGGGACTTGCTTCTCTGTTTGTTGTTGATTGGATTGAGCAGTCAATTGCAAGAACCCATATTTATAATCATTTGCAAGCTTGCATTAAGCTCCATCCAACAACTTTTTTTTTTTTACAAAGTCAATTTTTTTAAACATTTTTTTTTAAATTAAACATATGCATCAATGAATTGTTTACAAAAAAATCAATAGCGTGCATTTAGAAATAGACTGGGTGAATTTGCTAGTAACTATCCCAAACACAGACCAAATATAGAAATCAGACCATATAAAAATGCAAGAACTAATGCAAGTTTAATTTGGCACTGAACTAAACAAAAACAGGTAATAAAGGTGTCAAAGCTGTTCTGTTGGAGGTTTCAGGTATGTGAGTCGCTTTAAGCATGTCAGCGTGATAACTCTGGTATCCAGAGGTTGGATCCTCTCATACACCCTTCCGGCAGCAAACACACTGCAGTTTAATTTATGTCCAATTACATCCAACATAGTGCACAGTCATTAAAGAGTGGGTGGATACTTACATGGTCCAGGTGAGGTAACTGGATGGATGTGTTGCAAGAAAATGAGCCTTTTGCAAATCACTTCCTATGTGCTTACGTGCTTGTTTATGTGTGTTCACCAGGGCCTGTTGTCAGAGATCTTACGAAAAGAGGAGGACCCACGCTCAGCCTCTCAGTCCTTGCTAGTGAACCTCAAAGCGATGCAAAACTTCCTGAACTTACCTGAGAGTGAAAGGGACCGAATTTACCAGGAAGAGCGAGAGCGCAGCATGAACCCCCCTGTGAGTCTGCCCCCAAGCACAAACCCCAGCCCTGGTTGCACTCGCCTCTCTCAGGTACCCCACTTTCTCACCCTTGACTAGATTCAGCCCCCTAAACATCTCTTTTCCCCTGTTGCTGCTTTGTTTGTATGTTTGACTGGGTGTAGAAATACCTGAAAGCTTGTGTTGTGTCTGATTCTGAATTGTTTATCCGTAGGCCTATGAGATTGCTTTTGTTTCTGTCTGGATTCATGTGATCTGTTTACTTGTTTTGTTTGGCTTACACTATGTTGTTTTCTTTGTAATCTGTATGTTATAAAGCTAAGTTAAAAAAAATGCAAGAAATTTTGTAAAGAACACTGAAGTTTAGTAAAGGCTGGAATACGCTACACAACTTTTAAAACCTTAAAATATTTTAAAGCACTTGCCATCACACACTTGCCGAAAAACAAAACAAAACTGGGCAACATACATAAACAACTAAGGGGATCACACACTACCAGACTTTTAAGTCATTCTGAACCCAACAAACTCGCGCAGAAACATGTGCCTCTTTGATAGGAGATACATGACAAATGAAAACAATATGCATTGTAAAATTGGCTCAAAATATCACTTTCAGCAAAATCTCTGACTCACGGCAACTAAAGTCATGTAGAGTCTTCCAGCTTTAAGACAACAACAAAGGTCAAATGTTTAGCTCCTGACATCTTTAACTAAAGCACTCAATGTTATGCTATTTTTCTAGTAAATGTAAATGATATCTTGTCTTTGAATATGAATACATATTGACATTGACAACAACAATATGGATAACTCACTAATACAACCACACTGCCTTTCAAGACAGTGCCCTCTAAGGGTCAAAGGTAAAACCTGACTGCTACCTTCTTACTGCTAACTTCACACCATACCCTCCCAATGCAGAAAGTGTGGGAGCGCAGCATCGATGAACAGTTAACCCCTGACGCATGGGCATCTATTTGGAAGAATAAGACCAAAATCACAAACTCGGTGAGGATTACATCAACACTCACTTCATTTCCTCATAGAGTGTACCTCATCTGAGACCTCTGAGATCAACTGTAGTGATCAACTGTACGCACAAAACTTTTCCCATTTTGCAAATAAAAGCCAAACTACTACAGAAGGTCGAATTTATAATGTTTATATTGAAGATTTACAACTATATATATGTTTGTTAAAGATTCACACCCATTAAAACGTCGGGGTCCACAAGTTCTTGCCCTTGATTCGCTAAAATGACAAAAGCAGGAAAGCATGGTTCTGCTCTGCTCTTGTCATGGCATGTTTATATTAAATGACCTGGAACCTGGTGCGTGGACTTTCTAGAATGCTTGTATGAATCATATGAATACAGCTGCTTTCAACCTCAGGACCATTGTAAATGAAACCATGTAGATAATAAAAAATCTTTCTGATATGAGAACAAAGTTCCCATTCTTTGGTCTTAGGGAATGTGGTTGTGTATTATCATTACTATTATGTCTGTATATTTTATCTCGCAATCGTTTTTACTGGGGAATGTGAGATTACTTGCCTGTGCCTGCAGGGCAACTTCAAACATTGAATAAGAAAACACACCACTCTAAAATCAATACACCCTACTTCAAACACGTACTAAAAAGAGTTTACTAACGGGATGCTTTAATGATTTATCTGCTAAAATCTCAGTACATTGCAGGTACGAACAAGGGTCTAAAATGTCATCCATGAATGTTATCTCATATTGTACTCTCTCTAGCAATTATGAATATTTATCTAACCAATATGTCTTTGTTGCTTTTACCTTTGACCGCTGGACCCTCACAGTCCAAAACTTCTGGTCCTAACCCTGACCTTCCCCTGAAACTGGAGCCGCTGGTTAACATCACCTCAGCCATTTATGACGAAATCCAGCAGGAGATGAAACGGGCAAAAGTGTCTCAGGCACTTTTCGCCAAGGTGGCAGCCAACAAGAGCCAAGTAAGAATGGATTTTTTCGTTTTTGTTAATAAACTGGACACGTTTCCATCCTTTCACATAACATAATGCCAAAACTAAACTATACAAATACAAATTCTAAACTATAGCTTCATCTATGTAAACTATTCTACACTGAAAATACACAAAAAACCTAATAATTTTGTTTTCTACTTTTCAAGTACATTTTGCATACGGGTCTGCGTTTTATTTCAATGTACAGGAGAATTAAAACAACTTGGTATTTTCATATGATAATTGTTAATAATATATTTAATACATCTAAGAAGTGTATGCTAACAGTAAAAATAAGGTTGCTCATGAGTGGTGCTTTCAGGTTCTTCAGCTTAAATTGCTTTTTTGGCTTCTTGAGAGATCCTTTTATTATAAAAAATATAAATATAAATAAATAATTATTAATTATTTTATAATTTATATAAATATAAATATTTAATATTTTTAGGTGCTTGAAATATTAAGGCACATGATATTTGAGACACTTAGTTTTTAAAGTGATTTGTTTTATTCTAAAAAGATGTTAAGATTACACTTAGGCTTAGCTTACATATTCTTTCCTCAGTCAGTGTAGGGGAAGTAACGGTGTCCGTATGTGCAGACTGTTATATCTGATTCTGGCGCGTCTCTGATAAACAAAAACATCAACATCAACAGATAGCCTGATAAATGCCTCACATTTATTCATCTCTGACTTACCATTCCAGATCCTGCCAAAGAATCTCACTCTTTCTTTCAGTGCCTTAGTCAGTGTCTCCCATCCTATGAGTCATGGCTTATGTTGTGATACAGACGTGCATCCAGTGATCCATAGGATTGATCTGATTTCTTTCCTCATACCTTTTACATTGACACTTGTTCCCAGACATCTACAGTGGGTACGGAAAGTATTCAGACCCCCTTAAATTTTTCACTCTTTGTTATATTGCAGCCATTTG